CCCCCCCCCTCCCAACTTGGCTGACTCTCAAGAAATGTCTTCAAGGCTCCTACTCCTTCTGTAAGGTCGGATTCCCCTCCTGCCAGCGAAGAAGAAGAAGAAGAAGAAGAAGACACGGGAAGATTTTAGTCCTTATACAACAGAAGCAGAACCAGACCCTCGAGAGATAGCTCTTGAAAGGGCAAAAGACCTGTTCACTGGAAAAAAGTTTTGGGGAAGTGTGGAGATACTTGAACAGGCTCACTTGGTTGATGCAAACTACGGAACAATCTCAGAATCAGACTCCCCTGATCATAGACAAGGAAGAGAATCGCCAATCCCTTCTCCCATATCCAGTCAAATTCGTAATCAGCATTCAGGGAGATATTCCTCCTCTCTTTCTTCTGTGTCTAAATTTCAACCTCCTGTCACTTCTGCTAACTCTCATCTTTTTTTATCTTCTTCTTCATTCTCAGGTTCAAATGTATTGTCATCCCACCCAAAGCAGAAAGGTCCTCAGACAATTGCTTCGTTTAGCAGTGGCAGTAAAACTGAGGTGAATTTGAGAAATGGCAACATTGCTGAAGTGTTGGGAATTAAAAGAAGAGCTGAAGGGGAATTCTGGTAGAGTGAGCAAATGAAGATATTAAGTTGGAATGTCAGGGGTTTGGGCGGGCAGATCAAAAGAAGTTTAGTGAAAGAAACTTTGAAAAGAGAAAACTCAGATATAATTATCCTCCAGGAATCTAAAAAGGAAATCATTGATAGGAGACTTGTGAAAGCAATTTGGGGAATAAGGGGTAGAAAATGGACTGTTGTTCCAGCAGTGGGTTCCAGTGGGGGCACCATCTTAGCTTGGAAGGAAGATGAAATCTCAAGTTTAGAGAGAGACAAAGGTGAGTTCTCAGTCTTGGTCTTTTGTTCACAAACTTAAAAGATGATTTCAGCTGGATTCTTATCGGAGTATATGGCCCCAACTCTCCCTCCGATAGAGAAAGATTTTGGGAAGAACTGGATTCCTTGCATGCGGAGGAGGATATCCCATGGTGCTTGCTGGAGACTTCAATGTCACAAGATTCAGTTTGGAACATTCTAATGGTAGAGCCCCAACAAGAAGTATGAGGAACTTCTCAAAATTCATCTCCAGGCATAACTTGTGTGACCTCCCCCTTACTAATGGACTCTTCACCTGGTCATATATGCAAGAAAATGCCATAAGTTGCAGACTTGACAGATTTCTGCTTTCTCAGGAGTGGCTGGAAAGATTCCCCAACCTTTGCCAAGAACTTCATCCCAGATGTGCTTCAGACCACTGGCCTATTTTGCTAAACACAGAAAGAATCATTAGAAGGAAGACACCTTTTAGACTGTAAAAATTCTGGTTATCTCACAAAGATTTCAATAAAAAGGTTGCAGAATGGTGGGAAGATTGCAAAGTAGAGGGTTGGGCTGGCTTTAGGCTCCTTCAAAAAGTAAGAACTCTAAAGAAAAACCTGAAAGTTTGGGGGAGAGAGGTATTCAAAACTGTTGAAGAAGAGAAGAAAAGAGTTCTTACAGAGATCGAGGAGCTGGATAGCAGAGAACAAAACGGGACCCTTGATGCTCTTAACAAAAGCAGAAGAGCAGATTTGAAGAAGGAATGGGAACAACTAATCAGAAGAGAAGAAATTTACTGGAGACAAAGATCAAGAGTGAAATGGCTGAAAGAAGGAGACAATAACTCCAGATTTTTTCACACTTATGTCTCGGGAAGGAGCAGGAAAAACTTCATCTCCAAGCTGAAAGTGAACCAGAGGGAAGAGGAAAATCCCGAGAAAATTAAGGAAGCCTTCCTCTCCTTTTTCAACAACCTCTACTCCAAGGATAGCAGTAATCAATTCACATTTAGTAGATGGGAAGGCACAACTTTATCAGCTGTAAAAAGGGATTGGTTGGAAGGAAGCTTTGAAGAGGAAGTTAAGAATTCTGTCTTCAGCATGTATGGAGATATGGCTCCAGGTCTGGATGGCTTTCCCATCTCTTTCTTCCAGTAGTGTTGGGAAACAGTAAAGTCAGATATTATGGATTTTTTCAGGGAATTCCACTCTTCTGCCATTGTTAACAAAGGCCTTAACTCAACCTTTCTCTGTCTCATCCCAAAGAAAGGGGGAGACTTGCCATTGTTAACAAAGGCCTTAACTCAACCTTTCTCTGTCTCATCCCAAAGAAAGGGGGAGTCTTGGAAGCAAAAGACTTTAGGCCAATAAGTTTGATAGGGAGTATTTATAAAATTTTGGCAAAAGTCTTGGCCAATAGACTTAAAGAAGTCCTTGAAGATCTTATTTCCCCAAATCAATATGCCTTTGTGAAAGGGAGACAGATCGTGGACAGCATTCTAATTGCAAACGAGTGTGTGGAAGACAGAAAATCCATTGGGAATCTGGGGGTCCTAGTGAAATTAGATCTTGAAAAGGCGTATGATAAAGTGGATTGGGACTGTATCCTTGATTTCCCGAAGATGAGAGGTTTTGGTAACAGATGGATCAAGTGAATTAAGGGTTGCATTGGTTCCTCTTGGTTTTCGGTGTTGATAAATGGGGAAGCGAAAGGCTACTTTAAGGATAGTAGGGGTCTCAGACAATGTTGCCCACTCTCTCCCTTTCTGTTCACTTTAGTAATGGATATCTTTAACTACCTTTTCAATAAGGCAACACTCCTCAACTTGGTGAAAGATTTCGTAGTGGGAAGGAACAAGGTTCATATCTCACATTTACAGTTTGCTGATGACATA